ATAATAAAGTTCGAAAAATTCGCGTTATAAGAAATTTTTTTTTTATTCATATAAAATTCACTATAAAGAAATCTCCCGTTTTTGTGAATATTCGTTATAGTAAACAAAATTGAATGGAACCGAAAGTTCACTATAACGAGCTTTGACTGTACTGAGGAATTTAGAAATTTCCAACGTAAATTATTTCATAAGTGTTTCGCCATCATGTTTTAACTACTGCTAGAGAAACCTAACGCCAACCTATGTGTTTTACCGTTCATATATCATTCTTTCTTTCAGATATGTTTGAGGCAAATGAAGTAACAGCAACATACAAGTCTTACTGATGCAAGATGTCATGTTATACTTGTATAGTCCTGAAAGATAACTTAAATAACATGAGAATTTTATCAGAGGATATTCTGGCTTTCAGGACTTATGAAAACATGTGGGAAGTCATACAAAGAGGCCAAGAAAAGGACTTTTCTGTGCATTCTGTTGAAAATGCGTTCTGGAAATTTTCGTAAGTACTACTTTTTAATAAAATATTTGCAGATTTAAGTTAATTAATAAACTTGACAAAATTTCACAGAAATTTGAACATATATGAGACTTGTGTTTCCGATCGTATGCACCAGATTGATTTTGAACTCTTCAAGTATCAATTGGAATTTACGCAAGAGATTTTAAAGAGGGTCAGTGGAATGGATTTGCTGAAAGTTTTTGATGATCATCTCCATAATATTTCTCACTTTTCTGGCCTCAAACTGATAGGTAAATTGGGTTACTTAAAAGTGGTTACAGTGTCAGATTACTGACATATAATGAAAATCACACCTTTTGCTTTAGATGGTATTTTTGACAAATGGAATGAAATAAATGCAATTAGTTGAAAATTAGTAAAATTTAACTGAAATGTTACCAAATTTTGTTAATAGAAATTAATTGTTGATTGAACTACTGACTTTAAGAGGATATTCTCTTCATTATCATCAACAAACTGTAGTTTCCCAAAACTGCACAGCTGGAAATATCACACAGGTAAATGGATATTAGTTCAGACTAAGGTTGCTTGTCTAAACTCATTTTGGATTTGGCAAAACGGTTAAACCTTTAGTTTCGCTAAATTTTTACTAAGTGTTTGATATAGTTTCGCCATTTTTATAAGCTTTGATATAGTTTTACCTTTTTTCAAATTTTGCAAATTTTTTAATAAGGTTTTAATATAATTTAACCAAGTTTTACTTTTACTATTTAGATGTCTATCTAAACTCTTGATTTCATCTAGCAACCTTAGACATGATCAATGTTGATCAATAGATTAATTAACCAGATTTGTATATTTGTTAGTACATACAACCATCAATTCAACTACATATGAAATTTTTATGAAAATCATCTAGTTTTATATATTAGCTGATACTTGAACTAATAGCCTATCACTATGTAATAAAACTTTAGCTTATAAAAGATTTATTGAGCTAGGGATACTGATCCCTAATTATGCTAATTATGTGTATAAGTTGATTAAAATAAGTAAATCATAACAATTTCTTATGTAAAATTACCTTTTTTATATATAATTTATCTATTTTTAGTAAAAATTTATGCACATTTTATATTATATATAAAAAATTAATAATATTTATTGAATATATATTATATACCGATTTTATATACTGACTAGCATTAGTAATAACTCAAATATAGGTTGGATTTATATTATCAATAGTCATATTATTAACAAATAATTTATATTTTTGAATTCTTTATTTAATAATATAATTGTAATGATTTTAATTAATAAGAAAACTAAGTAAAATTGTTTTAATAAAAAATTGCTATTTTATTAAAAAAAAAATTTTTTTTTAAATTGTAATAATAAAAACATAGTTATAATTTATAATCTAGATTTAAGTAAATAAATAATGTATCTTTTTATTAAATTTCTAAAGTTTTTAAAAGCATTCTTATGATTATCTATTATATAATAATTATAAATTAATACTAAAGTTAAAGTATAAATAATAAGTGTTAACATACAACTAGTAAGAATTATAAGATTATACTAAAAAATAGCAAATCAAATTTTATAATTCAAGTATTTTTAGGCCAAAAATGAAAGAAAAATACCTTATGATTAAACTGAAAAAAATTTTTAAATAAGTATGAAAAAGAATAAAAGATGATTTACAAAATAATTATAATGCTTAATAAAATTAATAATACAGGTAGGATCATAATAATAAATATCCTAATTGCTAAGGTAAAAAATTTATTTAAGGTCCGAGTCTATTGAGAAGCTATTAATATACTGTATACGAGTAAGTAATTTCCAGAGGTCAATAATTTATCTAGAAAAAAAATTTAAAAATGAATCGATCGCGAATTAATCAATAATGCTCATCCAAGGTAAGAAAGGTAAGTTATAAAATTTTCTCTGCGTGAAGGAAAACTCTTCGTAATCAAATAATGCTTGGTATATTCACTATTCACTATTTATATTTTATTTCAGTTATGATATGGCATATACTGCATAGGAGAAGTAACGAAAGAATTTTTTCTAGATTTGCGACATAATTTGTAGATTTCTATTACATATATAAGTAAATTACATTTTGTTATAATAAAATTTCCACAAATTCAAAAAAAAAAAAAAAACTCCTATTGCTATAAATAAGTTATTTGATTATGGAGAACCGTGCATTAAGCAAGATGCCCAAATATAATTGGCTGGTGGTGATGGGTTTACAAATGTTGGTGGAATGCAAGAAGATCCAACAGATCCTGTTTCATCAATATAGGCATCCCATTGCCTCCTGCAAAATTATATAAATGTTAAAATGGGAAAATTCTATATAACAAAAAAAGTATCATACCTAATTGAAACCAAATTGTCTAAATCAAATTCAGCTTGATGCCAATATTCATAAACAGGATCTCTCTCTCTTTCTCGTTCTTTCATTCCTGCATCCATGGCTTCATTTCTTTTATGTTCTGCAGCAGCATCTCTCTCCTGATTAAGACGAGCTTCTTCAACTTTCATTGCATCATTTAATGTTGAAATCCTATTAAAAAATTCATCATCTTCCTCGGGAAAGAAGTGACCTAAATTATGGACATTTAATTATAGAGTTAATAAATTCTAATGAAATTATCGTCAGTCAATAAGACAAATCGATTGATGACAACCTTCGCGTTTTAATCGTTCTCTGCGAAGATCGCGAAGTTTTTTCACTTTTTCTAAAAGTTTTGTTAATTCTTTATGCTTGTTCTTTTTTTCTTCAGCTTCTTCAACTCTCTTTTTGGCTTCTTCTTTTCTTGCTAGTTCCTATAATAAAGTACGTGTGAAATAAAGCTTATGTCATTAACTAATGTTAACTTAAACAATATTTTAATACTTACTCGTTTCAGAGCTAACTCTTTAGCTATCCATTCGGTTCGCCATTCGTCAATAGTTTTATGTAAGGTTTCTCGCCTACGTTGTCTTTCATCTCGAACAGATTGTAATTTCTTAATATGTTTCACGCGCCATCGCTATAATGAATGAATTATAATTAAAAATTATGAAATTAAGAAAATAATTAATTATTCTGTGCACACTTTACCTTATGACGCCTAGTTTTAGATAATTTAAATTTAACTTTTTCAATGAATTGTTGATCTATTGAAGAAAAATTAGATTCTAATGTTTTCTAATTTAAAAAAAGGAGGTTACATTCATTGTATTATAACATAGAAATAAAATAAAAAAAAGCATTATACATAACATTATAACCTTGACATTTTCGAGACTTTCTATGTTAACTTTCCATTCATTTTCATTCGCAGATTCTCGAATTTCTTTTAAATTATTCAATTTGGATCTCAAATCTTGTAATAATTTATGACTTTGCAGAAGTTGTTCACGCGTATTTGTTATGTTAGGAACAGAATCTTCAAGCCTTATGTTACGCGTTTTGATCCATGACTTGAACCAAGCTTGTTCAGAATTGGGTTTATCTACAGACATAAGGTATAAAATTTAATGGGAAAAATTATGAGTGACAATAGTGACAATAAAAATTTATAATTTTAGTATTTTTTATTTTATATTCATTTATTTTACTTTATACACTTTTTTTTTGGAAGCAAAAGTTTTATTGAATAATGATGGATAATACAAAGTGAATTGGTCAACCAATACATTTAGCATCATCCTAACAAAAGAAATATACAAAGGAATATAAAAAAATGATAAAATGACAGAGAATAAAAAATAATAATATTGCAGAATAAAAAAGTAATAAAAGAATCATCAAATGAATAAAGAAATATAGTTATTGGTTTCTAATATATCAAATATATCAAATACACTACTAATATATATATATACTAAAAAAAAAAGTTTTTTTGTAAAATAAAGAAATTAATGTTCAAATCAAATGATTTTTTAAAAATAATAAAAAAATTATTGGAATCCAAATCCCGTTGTTCCTTCAGAGATTGCTAATAATAATTGTGCTCTTAACTGTTCATAATTGTCATATTCAGGGATATCTATTTGATTGAAACTATTAAAAATATAAAATGTAAGATTAATATATATATGATTTAAGATGATAATAAAATTTCTTCACAAACTTACCAAGTATGAGCAGAAGGTAAACGATCTGGACTAGCAAAATCTTTATGTATTTGGAATTTTTGAACACCATGGACACCTTGAAGGGCGGAGAAACCTTCCAATGGTACCTTTGAAGTACCCGTAACAAATTGTAAAAGTTTCGCTCTCTCTTCTTGATCAAAACTTCGTACAGCCCTCCAAAACCATTGGATTTGTGGTGATGAAGGAGTGTAATTTTGATATTCTGTATTGTTTTTCCAATCATCAATATCAATATCTGGCATGCCAGAAATTAACAATTCTAATTCTTGTTCATTGAAAATGCTAATTAAATGTGCAGGAATAATTTCATGGAAACCAGCAAGGAAATTCTCAATTTGATCCTTGATAGCTAAAGTAAGTTTCTGTTCTGTTACAAGCATAACATATTCTCGTTTATTCTCTTCTGTAACTGGGATATTTCTACCATTTGGTTTCAAGTCAACAATCTTCTTTTGACCAAAATCATCGGTTTCGACACTAAACGTCAGGTCAACTACTCCAGTGATATCATTATTTAACATCCAGACTAAACTGTTATAATATTCTAAATCTATGGCTTCAACATCACGATAATCAACAGCTTTCCCAAGAATGTGTTTATAGAAAGAACGTGTAAAATATGCGTCTAATAGTCTTCCATCATAAATAGCTTTACCGATGACACGTCCAACAAATTTAAAGAATAATAAATGTTCTGGGTTTGCACCTGAAGCTCTATTTGGTTGATAAGTAAGTCTGTCTGCTGCTGATGTTTTGAATAATGCATAGTTTTCGTTAAACATTTGTCTTGCTAAAACTTGGAACCACTCTCTCGTTACACCACCAGCATCAACACCTTCCTCTTCATAGAAACGTACACTAAGTTTCCCATATTTGATTTCATCTCCGGTTCTTCTTTGTAAGTTTTGGAAAGAATCCTCAAATACATATTGACGTCTAACGTTAAGTTGTAAAGAACCATAATGTTCCCGTGCATTTGTTCGTTTATGAAGTTGTTGGTTGAAATAATTTCTCTTGTTGTCAAATTCAAGGATCTTTGGATTATGAACCAACAAAGAGAATGATCCACTCATTAATGAAGGATTGTTCCTAACCATTGTATTAAGAATCTTACGATGATCTTCCGTAAATGTAAAGAATAGATCTTCCATGCTTTCAGGAGGATAACTATACGGTCCTGGTGAGGATATTCTCTGGTTTGTTGATGCTGTCATACCAACGTATTTGCACACAACCATCAAAGATTCTATAAGTGGTAAAAGAACAGTTGCCACATGAATCATATCCGGTTTTTCATGTATAGTGGTCAAACATTTTCCCAGTCTCTTCCATAATTCAGTAAAGTTGAGAGTCTCATATATTTTCATAACTTTAGCTTCATCGTCAGTCAATTTAGCATTTCGAGTGTTACTATCTAATAATGTTCGTGGTACAACTGATTCCAATTCATCAGGATCAACGGTAGGAGCCAACGAAACCACTTGTGTACTAGAAGTTGTATTTGATTGTTGTTTACGAGAATACATATAATCAATAGTCTTGAGAACACGTAATAATTTGGCTTGTTTGGAAGATGAAGGTGAAAATTTGGATAAAGTGACTCCTTGCACATCAACACCAGTGTTCGCATTATCTAAAATTTTTGCCAATTCATCAAGATCGTCCAATATATCGTTTCCAAGTATCTGAGCACGTTCGACCAATTCTGACGTTATTACATCACGGGCTCCACTTAACGTAGAAAGATGTTGAATAACTGAAAGCGTGTATTTGAAAGTATTACTTGTACATTCACCAGCAGTCAATACATTCACTACTAAACGTAAACAATAGTCGGGTATAACAGGTGGCTTGAGTGCAGGTTTTTCTGAACCTGGTTGTTTCGATGAGGAAGCTGTCGCATTATCTTGAGTCGTTTCATTTCCGGGTGTATTAATATTATTATTATCATTATTGTCATTATTATCATTATTATCATTATTATCATTATTGTCATTATTGTCATTATTGTCATTTGTCTCTAAAGTGACGTTGTTACTTTGATCATTAGGAGCATTTGAAGATTGATTGACATTATTTGAATTTTGTTCATTATCGGACTGTTGTTGTTGTTTCGATAAAGACGATAAAGGTCGTAAAACGAATGATAGTAAGTGCATTAATTGATCCATTAATGTTGTATTTTTTATAAAGACTTGTCGATCTAAAAGACTAAGTAGTATCACAACAGGATATTTGCTTACAACGGATTTTGATTGCTTTTCTTTGCCTTTACGACTATTTGATCTTTTAAGTCCAATATTATTTTCATGTTCCAATAAGAAATACGTAACTGATGCCTCATTATATGTTACAATATATGTCAAAGCTTCTAAACATCTTTGAGCGATCAAGTTAGGAACATTTTCTCCAGCCGCTTGAGTTATTTGAGCAAGGGAAGGATTTGGTGCATTTGAATGTCTTCTTGGCGTTCCTTTAGAAGTGCCTTTTGCACGTAAAGACATTTGGGCAAAGCTCTTATCAACAGCTGCTACATCCCCACTTCCATCATAAAGGACTGAAAGTAACATCGAAATCAACTCGCCACGTGTTTTACTATTTTCACATAGATTAAGCAACAGTTTATGAAGTAAGTTTTTATTGCCCAAAGGTTGCGGTAAGAATAATAATCTAATCAATGTGGCTAATCCTGAAGTATCAACAAGTTTCATTGCATCACGTTGAATAGTAGGTTTTTTAGGAGTTGGTACGGCTGGAGTAGTACTAGCAATGGTTCTCGAACGTACTGCATTTGTATATCTCCTACTTGCTCTTTCTCGCAAAGCATTTGCCTCAGCAACAATTGCTGGAGGTAATGAAGCCAAAACCATCTCATCTTGTTCAAGTAGGACAGTTCGTCTTAAATGAGGATCCAATGAAGCAAAGAAACTTGCAGTATCCATGTCAGCAGCAACTGGTTCAACATTTCGTTGACGTTCTCTTCTTTCTTGTTCAAGAGCCGCTGCTTCTTGCTGAAGAATTTCTTCTCGTAAATCATCAGGTAAGGCTTCCAAAAATTCATTACTAATAGCATCTCCTGCACCGCTTACTGGAGGTCTGTTTCTTCTCTCCGGAGGCAAATGTTGGTTTAAAACTTCTTCACGTAATTCCTCAGGAAGCGCTTCAAGGAAAGTTGGGTCAATTCCAGTATCTGTAATGTCTATAGTTTGACCGTTGATCACGACAGTCGTTCTTGCACTTTGAGTTTCATTTCCTTCAGTCGTACCTTCTGCTGCAGGTAGAGAGGACTGTGTAATGATAGCACCTTCAATAGTAGTCGGTTCCTCCTCCATATTTGGATTATTCTCAGAGGTTGTAAGTGAAATTTCAGGCGCCGGAGATGGTTCAGCATCCATAGCATCAGGATCTTCTAAATTTTCTTCGGTTATGGTATCAGGGACATCTTCTTGCATGGCATCTCCAAGTTCAATAATTTCAGTTGTTTCAGTAACTTCAATTACTTCTTCAGGTTCTGTAGTACCTTCAGCCATTGATTGATCAACTGCTACATTTTGTGAACCTTCAGCAGCAGATTCAGCTTCTAAAACTGCATCACTAGCCTTTGATGATGCTTCTAATTCTTTCCTTTCTTCTTCTGCTTTTTTTCGACTTTCTTCTTCAAGTATTCTTCTTTCTTCGCGTTCTCTCTCTTCCTTCTCTTTTTTCTTTTTATCTTCTTCCAATGCAAGAGGAATTAATCCGTTTAATATATGGTTAACAAGTTTTGTAGCCTTTTCGGATACAGAATTACCGTACATCATTCGAGCTTCGTCATACCACCTTTGTCCAGTCGAAACTGGCATAAATTCTTGAACAGCGGAAATTGGATCACTCGGAGGGGTAACATTTTGATTATCTTGAGCGTTTGTTATGGATCTAGGAAATATTCGGTCAACTTCGATACCACTAATTAAACTTCCCGAACCTGTATTTAATTCAAGTCTGTAAGTGGAATGTCCTAAACCACGACTTCTAGTTAACAATTGTTCTATTAATTGAGCAGCACCACCACCTATCAGTTCTTCGATAGACTGTGTCCAGTCACTCAATGGTCCATTTCTGACATTTCTGCCTCTTACAAATTCAACTCCAGTCGTTCCAGAGATATTGGGAAGATTCGATGTTCTGTTAACAAGTAATGGATGTGTGGTAACATCATCGCTAGCGCCGGGCATTGGTCTATTTCTACCAATACCAGGAATATCCACTTCATCATTTGTGCCAAAATTAAATCCATAACCAACAGAATCACCTATTACATAGTCGAGACCTTCTGGTGGAACTTCTAAAATGGCACGACGACTACCGGGAATATGTCGATGACGTCTATTACCAAAGCTAAATAATGCGCGACTTGGACGGCCTGGAATAAATTCATCGTCATTCATAAAGAGTGAACCGGGTTGATTCCATCCCCAATTAAAATTGAGACGATCCACATAACCATCGTGAATTTCACCACTATCTAAAACTACATCATTTTCTTCTACGTCATCAGCTTCGTCATCGTCATCGTCATCGTCATCGTCGTCATCTTCGTCTTCGTCTTCGTCCACTAACATTATCTCTCTATCATTCCCTTCATCAGTACCAAATCCTCCATGTCTACGATGTCGATGATGATGTCCTTCAGCATCATCAATAGTTTCTTCAGCAATATCACCCCGATCTATAATAACTTGGTCGTGAACGTCCCACATTTCTTGATCAGCTCCATCTTGACGAATACGAACGGGGTGATCATCATCTGTATCATCTTCATGTTCTAAATGTTGAGCTAGATTATTATCTTCATTTTCGGAGTCATTATTATCGTTTTGATTATCCAACATTGTTGAATGGCCATGCAATGGTTGTCGAACGACTATTTCTACGTCCATATCGTCTCCATCACCAGCAACACTTCCATTTAAGTCATTATCATCACTAACATCACTAACATCGCTACCGGTCTCCTCATCATATTCGTCATCGTTATATACTTGTTCATCTGAAGTACTAATCTCTTCATCCTCCATTTCATCACTTTCCATTCTGCCTTCGAGAGCACCAAGTACAGAAGTTGCATACAAATCAGGCGCATCTTCTGTTATTTCATCAGCTGAAGGAGTGGAGATGGAAGAAATACTTTTGCGACGTTCTTGTTCCTCTTTAGAAGGTTCAGGCGCACGACCCAACTTTATGGCTATTTTTGTTAAAAATTCGAATGGTTTCAATAAAGCACTTATCAAAATCCTTGCTGAAGGGTAATTTAAATCTACTTCTGAAAGAGCTTCAGTTAAAGTGTTCACAAAATTCTTGTCAAGCATTAACTTAGCAACGCTAGCGGGACCATCATCAATAGGTCTGTTTGCATTATTACTTGGATTTGTACGTGCGGTTAGGATTGCATAACATAATTCAGCCAAAGCCAAAAGCCTTCCATATTTTGATTCAATAGGATCAGATGAAGAAATGGCATACTTAAATGAACGAATTATACCATCCAAAACAAATTTACGAACTTGTACCAATTCATGTTGAACTTTCTTTTCATCAACATCATTACTGATATTTGAACATAAAGCGACTATGACGGAAGTCGTCCATTTAGATTGTCCATAACGTTTGCGCATTTCGATATCGGTCGAGGATGTAATACATCCATATGGTAATAAATCATTTAAAAGATAACTCAATAAAGGAGTTTTTGTTTTAAAAGGAGTACCAGGTCCGACGCTGTTCCTTCTACGGGAGAGATTTATAACTTCAGTTTTACATGAAGGATATGAAGAGAGTAATTCTGTCAAACACTGAAGCAAGAAACAACGACATAAATAATCCAAATGTTCTTCAGGTTTAAAGGGTGGTTGAGTAGGTCCCGTAATATTCGTAGCATTGTTAGTATTATTAGTAATGCTGATATTATTGTTATTTGTTGTAACGGAATTAACAGACTCGATATTCTTTTGTTTTTCATGTGCAGTATCAGTTGGCTTTGATTCTTGAAGTGCAGTAGATTGAATATTACGTATAGAAATCAATTCATTTGCTATGAAATGAATTAAATTTTCTGCAACTTCGGATCCAAAAGATAATTTTTTAGGTGATTCAAAAGTAGATGATGAAGGTGCAGCATCCGTCATTTCTTCTTCATTAACGGTATTATCTTTATTCGTTGTATTACTAGCTTCCTCAGGTTCTTGTTTAATCAAGGTAATTTGATGCTGACTACTTCTACCAGGTTCATACCTTGTCAATTTACAAAGCTTCTTGGTTGATTGAACAAACAATTCAGGATTTCGCAATGCAAACTGCGCAGTATTTCGAAGGTAAGCATTGATATCAACTACACGAGGTCGAGGATTTGTAAACCAGTTTTTGATTTCTCTCTCCATAATTGATTCTAACACAAAAACATCCTCTATTATATGTCGCAATATCATTACAATGAATATTTGTTGTCCACGGAAATCATGAGCTCGTGGTTTGAAAGCATTAAAAAGTAACGATAACCCGTCCTTCTTAACAAATTCAGTTGCATCAAGATGGCGTCGAGTTAACCGCACCAAGATTCGAAGCAATGAATTAATAATGTCTTTGTCAAGATCTTTACGTTTCATGAATGATAAGCAGTATTCAAGTAAATTTGAACGATGTATATCTGTTGGTGAAGAATTATTGTCCATGACAATCGCTTCCGATTCTTCAAGTTTAGAATGTAACAGATTTAACTCAACAGTTGTTGGTTCATCTGATAAAGATATAAAAGATTCTATAACTAACAAAGCTGGTGCTAACCATTTAGGTAAACTACTTTCAGAAGGCTGTTCGGATTGTTCAGCTACCATGGATAACATATCCGAAAATATATTGAATGGTAAATGAGAGATTTTTCCTTGAATACTAGTTTCGTTTAGTAACAAAGCCAATAAACGTAATCGTGAGCTTAATGCTTTTTTGCGTAGTTCTTCAGATTGTCCACGAGCATTCTCAACACTTTTTATTACCAACTCGATAGTTTTTTCAACATTATCTTTGCTTAGGAGGACAAATAAATCTTTTACTTCGAAAATAACTTCTTCAACATGATCCAATAATTCAATAGCTCTATTAGCTGCACTTGTTTTTAGTTCTTCTCTAAGAGATTTAAATTGATCTACTGAAGCGACTTCTTTTCCTTTACCTTTGTCGCTTTTCTTTGAAGTAGTAGATTCTGTTTCCATAGGAACAGTTACCTCACTAGAATTAGATCGTTCCGCAGTTTGACCATCTTGCATCGATAATGCCAACGCCTGAGCTAAAATATCTTCTTGTTCCATATTATTACTTTCATCATTATCGGATATTTCTTCGTCGTCATCGCCAGAAACTCCAGAAATATCAAAATTTGAACCAGTGGTGGTATTTGTGTCAGTCGGTGCATTACCAACAACAGTAGTTGTATTGTTTGTTGAAGAATCACGACCAGTTTCGACCGTTTGAGCTTCTGAAAAAATTGTCGCTGCTATAGTGTGTGGGTGAGTCAATAAATATTCTGCAGCCGTTTCGACATGATTATTACATCTTATAAGTGCTGTTTCAGCGTTAGAACGTTGGAAACCCATATCAATTAACTGCTGAACCCTGTCTTCATCTGGAATGAGACTTCTTCCAAACAATGAAGATGGAGCTGATAAATTACTTGATCCTTCCGGTCGTTGATTTACTTCTCCTTCAGCTTTTAAAATTTGAACTAAATTTTGCACAACAGATCTTAAAATATTTGGTGGAGCTTTTGTTAAGTAAGAACTTAACCAAAGTTCATGAATTACAGGAAGAATTTTTGCTCGAACGTTCACGAGAAATTCGAAGGGATCGAAACGAGGCTCACGATCTTTAGATGTTATGGAAGCTGTTTGAGCTGAATCGTGTAGAAATTTAGATGAAGCTACAAATTGAAAGAAATTAAGTGTAACTTCGATGCATCCGTGAATTCTTGTAAGCTTGTTTTTTGATTTGTCATCTGCTTCAATAGTTGAGTACTCTTCAAAAGCTTTAATAGCCTCTGCTTCTTCCCAGAACTGGCGTAAGAGTGTGAATACGCATTCCAACCCATCAGCTTTATCAACAAATGAGAGAACTAACATTGTCTGAAGAGATACTTGATTTCGTTCTAAATATAACAATGCAAATCAAATATATGTATATTTTTTGAATACAAAATATTCAATAATTAAAAAATAACTAACCATCTAGAAATAGTAATGATAAAAGTCCAAGCATGACGGTGAGGTAATTGTACTTATTTGTAGAATCAGTTTCGCTATCAAGAGCTAAAGGAAAATTACATTAAATATCGATTAAAAAAATTTTTAAAATAACAAAATAAAATAAATAAATAAATATTTACAATAACGAGACCAGGTTAAATGATCACGAAGGACCTCAGCAATAGAATTGGATACTTTGAAAGCCAATGCCTTTTGATTTGTATCTGGTTGTTTGCGTGTGAAAAGCATTTTGGCCAAACCTAATCATAATAAAATTTTATAATATTAATTTATTGAATATAAATTTTAAATGGTATTTATTAAACATGATTATACAACACATACCTTGAAATAATGGAGTCAAACAAGAAGGAATTTGAGACACCAAGAATTTAAAATATTTTGCATTTTTTACTTGACGATTATTCTGGTCAACTGGAGGTTCATTTGAATCAGTTATCTCTTTGTCATTTTCGTCCAATAATGCCGAAATAGCTGAAATTTCAGGAAGACTAAACGGTTTTTTTGGTTTTGTTTGTGAAGCATACCATGACTTTGGTACAGATGATTTTAAGATAACATTTTCCCAAACACACGTGCTAAAAATAGAATTTTGATTTTAACAAATCGTAATAAATACATTCGGTATAGAGAAAAGAAAAAACATACCGATGCAATTTTCCAAGTGAAGGTATTACTTCGCTGTCACTTCCAACAAAAGCTTCAATAACAGATGACGCATTTTTCCCGTGAGAGAAAACTGGTGTACAATAGACATCAGAAAGTAGTCCAACATAACCGTGCAAAGTTATTAATGATCTGAAGGTTTTATTGGCTTCTTCAACTTTAGCAGCATCGTTTACTTTTAATTTTTTTAAAAAATTAGTCCATATTAAAGTACGTTTAAAACTTTTTGCAAAAAAAAAATTTATAAATACTTTTGAGATCAATGTAATCAGCGAGAAGACCTCCCTTTCCGTCATGATTTAGGAAATTTGTTGCTCCTTGAAATGCTTCATTAAGTGCACTAATTATTGCTGTAACACTTCTCTTTGAATCGACAACAGCAATCACTCTCATTAAATGGGAGAGAGAATATGAGGCTTGCGAACTTGCAAAATCATAAGGGACTGTTGGTAATGCGTAGAATTTAAGAATAATATTTAACCCGACTTCTTGTCTGAGAAATTCTTTGCAATGGTTTGGAGTTTGGAAAAGACCTTCCAAAAACTATCATGAAAAAATGACATGAGTTTGTGTCCCGAACAATATATTTATATAATACGAAACATACCTTTGCAGCAATTTCAATAAACGAAACAATAATATTCTCTTTTTTCTCTTCAGGTTTAACAGAATCAACATCACCCATGGTAATATCAGATGACTCAGATTCCACTCGTTTTTCTGGAACAGGGCTTTGATCATCATCTGTTCCAGCATGTAAGATATTGGTATCATCACTAACAATAGTGGAATCACTCCGTCCAAGTTCTAATATACGCTGAAGTGTGTTCATTATTGCATTCATGATACTTGGTTTCAAACTTGGATGATGTCTCATCAATTCATCAATATTTGTTCCCAATACTGACGCAACATCGCCATCTTGAAGAGAGCGCAAATGTTCAGTTGATGTAAAAATTGAAAAAAATTTGTCTATCGGATTCATCTGAGTAAAAATTTCCATTCCTTGTGAATTCAAACATATAGCACCGAACGCGTTAGGAATAGATTGAATTACCTGAATTAAACATCAACAATTAATATCATATATAGTAAATATAAAAAAATGAAAATAATTTTCTTAATAACTCACATCTACTGAAGCAGGAATTTCTTTTACGATAGACTTTAAAAAAGTTTGTGGAAGCTTAGCCTCTTGCATAATTGGAAGTGAAGTAGGTTCATTATGAATAAAAGTTGCAATGATGTTGATTGCTAGATAAATATTGAAAATAAATATTAATATCTCAAAATTATATTATATAAGAGCGATTGATAAAGGATTTTACCAAGTGCAAATATACTGCTTCCGAATACTTTGGGTTGTTCAAAGACCTTTTTAATTGAATCTGGAAGAGATGTGTCGATAAGATTTCGCAATCCATCAGCAGTACCAGCCGATTGCATCATATGCAAAACAAATTTAAACATAGACTTCAATAAAGAAGATTTTTCGTAAGGAAGAGTAATTTCGGTTATAGAAGGCTCAGTAACTTCATTATTTAGTCAATAAAACAATTAGTAAATATGATTTTATCAAGATTGAGAAAGGAATAATGACAAAAATAAGATTTATACCCGGTGGATTCGTTGAGGCTGAAGACCCTGCAATCGTTACATCTTCCATAAAGTCTTCTTGGTTATCACCTAATAACTGGATACCATAATCAACTTCCTCCTATAATGAGAAAAGTTAATGAGAAAATGGTATAAAAAGAAATCAACTATACGGATTTAGATATCTATCATACATTTATCCTTTGTACCAATGTACGAACTCCATTAGCGTTACAGAATGAGGTAAATGAAGGGGTGAATCCATACACAAGGCTGTCCAATATACTGACAACTTTTGTTATATTCTAAAATAAATAAATACATTAAATTTAGAATACACTATGCAAGAAAATCCAAAGAACGCACGAAAAGTTTACCTTTGATTGCTGTGGATTTTTATTGTTCAACAATTGTAACAAGGTTGGAACTATTCCTGCTGAAATCACCATAGTTCCACCGGTTTGTGAAGTGATAAAATAGGAAATTAAAGCAAAAACCGCGTCATAATATTCTTGATTGAAAATAGCTAAAAAAAATTATATATATTATCGTCAATATATGTCTTTTTTAAAAGTACCCGCTTAATTTTCAATTTGTTAATTCAAAGATTACATACGATTTTTGCTATCCAGATCGGCAATTACTCTCCGCAACACGTAAAGCAAAATACCGTGATTAGCTGCCGCATTAATGGCAGATAACACTTCACTAAGCTTTGATCGATATCGACTGATTCCATCCAATGCATAAAATGCAACTGTTTGAATTTCCTAATAACAAAATCATAAAATCAATCGATCTAAATCACCTAGAAACAAAATAATGACCTTAAAAAAATATTAAAAAACTTACGATCGGTATATTTCTATCCGGATGAACAAATTCGGCAAGATTTGCAACGATATCCGGTTCGTACAAAAATAATTTGGATTGGGCAATATGTTCGGGGATGACATGAGCTAATTAAAACAAAAAGAAAATTCGTTTATATAAAATTTTAATGGATAGAAAATATTAAATTAATATCATACCCATAATAGCAATAGCAAGTATTCTTATTATTAAGAATTTTCGTCGAGATTCGATTGATGTAATACTGGTAACGATTCGAATTCGATTTAAAAGAGCATAGTGAAACTCTTCAGGAATATTATATTCTTCAACAATATTGTTTAAAATGTCCATATCAGTCTTTCCAAACTGATGGATGTTATTAACGGTAATCAAAGCAACACCTTCTCCAGCTTTAGCTCCGCCGGTACTTGAAGCACTATCTTTCCTTTTTCCTTTTTGAGGTGTGGAGGCAGCAGACCCAACAGATTCATTTTTCTTTTCACCCGTGGTTTCGGCAGCTTCTGATGGTGTTAAACGACGATAAAATTGATAATTTAAGGTTGTCAATTCTTCTGGGATCTTAACTTCTTCGGACGCAAGCTGCGCCATTTCAATATCATATTCTTTTGTGCCCCAACTATGGACCAAAGTTAAAATACGTTCTTGAGAAATGGTAAAATTGGTGCGAAGAGCACGTTGATTACTGAGACGTTGTGCAGGTCGGAGTATCAAACGTAACAACACCTCCAAAACACCTAAATCACTTGTATACATCAAGTCATTGAGATGCTACAGAATAAATTTAATATTTAATAAAAAGGTTTCACTTTAATTTTTTGTGATAATTAAGGGTGGATAAATTACACACCTCGTATGAACTGTATAAATTTCTGTTTGTGCAGTTTTCCAGTAACATTCGAGAAAATTTTAATATAGCCAATAAAACGCTTCGCGTTTCTTCAGTAAAGTTTTCTGCCTGCAATTTTTTAAGTTTATAATTTTGACAAATATTCTCAAGAATGCTATCGAAGCGGTTCAATACAGTAATCCAGTGAAAAAGATCTCCTCTTGAATAACTCCATTCTTTAACCGAATCCACTATAACCGGTATTTCCTCTTCGCGACATTCATTGAGCTTTTGAATAAGAATTTTGATTGGCGGTATCTATTAATAAAGACGAAAGTGCAAAATATATATATATATATTTTTTAAAATATTGTTAATATTTACTATACAAAAAAAATTTTAATAACGTTAAGAATAATCTTTTAACACTTTTTTGATCTGTCGTTTCCTATTTTTGACGAGTTAATAAACACAGTCACCTAAAATAATTGCAAATTTGACCCTTTCACGCACTGCACTGCCCTAACCACCTCTGAAATTTTTTCACTTTTTTTTTTTTTCAACGTTGTGCACTGACGATAAAAATAACGGTCCATAGAACTTTCAAAGCTTGCAAGAGAAAAAAAAAAGTTACTTACGGGTGCCGCTAATTTCTTTGGTGGGGTTTTCTTTATTTTCATTATTGCAGCTTGATCTAAACAAGCTTTATTTAAAAAGAGTAGTATTTAAAAAACTTTACAAGTGTCGTCAAAAAACTGATTGGCACGCGTGTTTGTGTTAAATCAAATTAAAATAAAAGGTGAAGAATCAGTTTCCTCAACCCTTAGAAAGACAAACGACTACGAGCTTAGTAAAATAAAAAAGCAAGCGTTTGTAGGTTATTCATATAAGGCAAGTTAGGGTGATATCATAGTAACATACGTAACCGTTTGTGACAACAATAGCAAAATCTTGTTATAATAAATCAAATGATTTATTTGGGTTATTTTCATTCCGGAATTATTTGATGTTGAAATCCGATAACATATTTCTGCGGAAGTAAAAATATCTGTAAATTAGGATATTTATCTTTAAGTAGGGCTTCCTAAACTTCAGACTTAAAGAAAAAGATCACATCAAGATGAAACATGCGCAGCAAAAAATTTTTTTTTTCAGGGGTTGATTATTGCCTAATGCTGCTAGTAAGACAAAGGTTTCTAAGAGAATAATTTAGGTATAAGACCTTATCATTTATGCTCTCAAAAAGTATATTTTACGTCGACTAATTTATTTTATTTTTATAATAAATAGCTGCTTGCTATATCTGAAATTTTTAAAAAAATAAATATATATAAAAATTAACTAATAAGTCAGACTTATCTATAATATAATTACATTAAAACAAATTAACAATATAGTAAAACCGTTATTAAACATATGTATTGAAAATATTACTATTTATATGTAATCAAAAGTAATGATTATAGAAAAGTTTGATTTAGTTATATTTGTTTATTTATAAGAAAATTTTTTATTTGTTTATTTTTTTTTTATATAAAAATATAAGTTATAATATATATAGTTAAAAGTTTTTTTATTAAATTAACTTAATTGTTCAAAACCTATTTTAATATATAATTTAAAAATTTAAAAACTTTTTCAAAAACTTTAAAATGACTTTTTTAAATCTAAAACTTTATTAAACTTAATTGAATTTAAAAAAACCTATAAGTTTAAATAAAAAATATCAAATAATTTAATTTCAAATATTTTGTAATTCAAATTTTTTAAAATAGTTTAGGAAAGCATCTTTAACTTAAATATAAAATTATTAATAAATTCAATTTATAATTTCTGAATTACTTAATAAATTTTAATAGTAATTTTATTATAGTTTTAATTCATTAGTTCTTTAAGAATTATAAAATCATTTGTAAATAAAAAATATAATTTAAAAAAAAATTTTTATATAATTGATAATTTCTTAATAAATAATATTTATTAAATTTATTTTTTAAAATTTATTTAAATAATTTTATATTTTAAATTTAATATTAAATTTTATTAATTTTATAAATTTATTATATATAACTTAATTTATTTAAAATAAGTTTTATCAAATTTAAGTATTTTAACTAATATTATTATTCTTAATATAATATGAAAGGTAGTCAATAGAAAAGGGAAAAATCCAAAATTTTTGTTAATTTTTATTATTAAGCCAAATTTGTGCATAATCGAGATTAGCTAAGTGGTCTAATAATATTATTATCTTACGATACTAATGACTGAAAATTAGTATTGATGCAAGATTAACAAAGGATTTAACTTTAAGACTTTATAATATAAGATTTATAGAGAACTTCTAAAAGTTTATCGATCAAATGTATTTCAGATCAAAGTATAATTTGTGGGTTAAGTAATTTAGAATTTTATTA